GAGTGAAGATCAATGATCTTCATGTCCTTGTCCTAAAGTCATACCTGAGATGATTTGCTTTCTTCTATTTAGAAACAAGCAATTTGTGTTTCGTAGATTAGGATCATTTTATGTACTTTAAGATTTGGATGTTTTGGTGAATGTATGGCATCAAATGGTTGAAAGAATCCATCAAATGGTTGAAAGAATGCATAATAACTGAGCATTCAGCACAACGGTTTCATTTGCATGAGTTTTAAAGATTATATATTTCTGTGAGCCTTCCATATCCTTTCAGTATACCTCACATTTTACGAATCCAGTTTTTCTTCTCCATGGCTGCTGCCTCTGAGTTACATCTTTCCTCCTTAATTCCAGATGAATCATGTCTTAATGCAGTCAGCCTAATAGAAGGTTGTCTAAAGTAGGATTCAAAATGTGTTGTTAGCACATGCTACCGATAGCTTGCTACAGACTCAAATCGCAATCTGGGCCTGAAATCAGAAAGAACATTGAGTAATCAGCAACATACGTTTCATAAAGGACTGAACATGTACATAGGTATGGAGAATATGAATAACCTTCAGAGAAGAAATACTGAGACTTTTCAGAGATTAAATTAATCTAACTATAGGACAAGGTGATAAGTAATATAGCAGACAAATTTTCCCCCATTTTCTACTGTGATTTCTTCTGAAACATCTGGGAGAAGTTGCTGTTTGACACAGAGTACTTCTGTAAAATATTTGCCTGAAGTCTGTCCTGCTTTTTGAAGAGCACTTCTTGAAAATCCTCGTGCTTTCTGCTGCTATGGGGGAGGAAGGGAGGAACAAGAATATTAATTCAGCCTTAAGAGGTTTCACATATCCCAGAAGAATGTGAAGTGATTCTAATTTGATTGCTGCTGCTCAGATAGGTTACACAAGACATGCAGTATTGGAGGCTTATCTCTGACCTCTTGATTGACCAGAATGATTAGGTTGGAAGGCCTTTAGATTTTAAAATGGAGAGAGAGGTACAGAATGTGGATCAGACTAAGACAGAGAAAATTTAGTGCTGCATAACGTGATTTGTCTGTCACCAGCACTGGGTAGCTAAATTTTTAAGGAAAGTTAATTTGAGAATTTATTTGTTTTTCTTTTCCATTTTCTCTTTTTGCAGTTCAACACATTGATGGTATTACTTTCTATCTAAATATTTCACGTGAATTACTAAAACCCAAAAGAATCCTGTAGCCATTTACTGAGGCTATTTAATGAAACACGATGCGAATTACGATGAGTTTAGGCTTAGATTTACTGTTTGAAAGGGACACTCATTGAGCAACAAAATAATGATTAGTGGTCACAATTCTTTTTAGAATTGTAAACTACCTGATGAACAGCGAAACAAAATGAGCTGCTGCAGCCAATTACTACTGAGCTTTTGTTGGCTAAATCACTGAGGATCATTTGGGAGCATGATAATGTGATTCAGAAAAATGTGGACCACTCTGGAACATTTTGGAAGTCTGAAATATTTTGTATAAAACAAGGCCTAAAATGAAATGACGGAAGTGTATATAACCTTTTCTTCTATTCTGTAGATTTCTCTTCCTCCATGAAAGAGCTACCTGAATGTCCTGTTGGAGTGGTTTGATAGGTTAAAAGGAGGAGTTTTTTCACTTGATAGTGGTCATCCTCTTTCACCTTTCTTGTTCTGCTTTTCCTTGGCTTGTTTTGCACATTTTTGACCACTCTGTTGTGTTGTGGTGTTCATGTAGTTTTTCAGTCTCCTTCATCTGGATGTCATTCTGTATTCACTCACCGCATTTTGTTTTATCAGTAGGAATGAGACATTTTGACAAGGTCACCATGTATGACATGTCAGAAAGCTACGTTTTCTTTCAGTCTGGGATTATAATGTCTTGCTGATTTTGCCTGTTCTTATAGTAGAGGTGTTTCTTTTGATGTTTCTTGGTAATTTGTAATTTAATAACAGCTGACCTGCCTTAATGTCCCAATTCAGACCTACAAAAGAATGTCAACCGTATGTAGAGCATTAGTATTTGTGGGATCTGGGCAGGATTGTCCTTGCTTCCTGGGGGAGCTGACTTTCAGTCTTAAACTACACTCTTAAGAAAAGAATCTTTGCCTTTATAGGTGGCCAGTTCATTATGTCTGAGGAGTGAAGTTGACATATGTGGACTTTGCTTTGGAAAGTTAGGTGATCTTTTGGATGCTCTGAAAGACCTCTGAGCTGTCTGAAGATAAGGAGGAAGACTTTGAATTTAGCTTCATCTTCTTTGGAAAAGTAGCAGGAAAGTAGGAAATACTTTTGCAACAATTTTGTCAGCAATTTAGTAGATACCAATACCAGACACTATAGGAGGGAAAAATTATTTTACTTAAAATAAAAACCAAAACAAAACAAATTTCACTCACTGATGCTCTGTCTTACATCTGCAAGCATTAGAGTGGGTGTGTGTCTAAAGGAGTGTGTCCAGCAGTCGGGCACCCCCCATGCTTGCATCCAAGTGCTAGGTCCAGGATCTGTTGCAATGACATGGAGAGCATGGAATGCCAGCTGTCAAGTCCTCCTTGCATCACCTGGGTTCTTCATAGGTTGGAAACTATCTTCAATTGGATATGGGGTTTTTTTACCCTTATGGAGCTACCAGCAGTCTGTCCTTCCCCACCTCTTTGAGTCATCACTGTTCACTGTTTTTGTCTCCATGGTCTGGTGATCTTGTGAAGCTACCTGCATGCCTGTGGTCTTGAAGACCTGATAATCTATGTGCCATTAGCATAGGACAATCTGACATGCCTTTTCCATCTTATGCCTCAGCACCCAAATATTCCCATTCATTCCTTCTTCACGCCGATCATAGAATCATAGAATTGTCTAGGTTAGAAGGGACCTTTAAGATCATCAAGTCCAACCATCAACCTAACACTGCCAAAACCACCACTAAACCACGTCTCAAAGCACCACATCTACCCATCTTTTAAATACCTCCAGGGATGGCGTTTCCACCATTTCCCTGGGCAACCTATTGTGGTTCTCTGCAAAGATGCTGTAGGTAATTATAGTAATTTCCTTATGAAATTAATATAATCAGGAGTTACTCCCGCTTAAAATAGAAGTCCTAATTTCTTCATGTTTTCTATGGCACTACAAGAACTCTGCTCTTGAGTACTTATTCAGTATTCCTGAACACCCAGAACTCTAGTATTTGATTGAAGTATTAATTGAGCTAGAGATTTTTGTGTGTGGATAGGAGCTACTTTTAAGATATTTTATGGTGTTACGGAGCAGATTAATCTAACCTGTGTAGACCCAGCTTTACACCTGTAACTGCTACTGTATAAACACTTCATACCAGCAACAATTGTAAGAGATTATTAACTACAGACAAAAGCAATTATTTTAGGGTCACATATCTTAATCAATACCTATTTCATTGTGCAAACTCATCTTCTCCTAATGTAAATGGAAGGAGACAGAAAACCATCAATATGCCTAGAATTACCTTTCTAGTAATCCATGCTTCAGGGTAGTGGTAAAACCGTTGTTCAGAATGCAGACATCAACTGGCACTGTTACCCCTCCAAAAAGAGCGAACAAAAATTTGCTTATGGATGATTTTGTACATTGTTGTCATATAAGAGGAGATCACAAAATGCGCCACTTGCATATAATTCTCACAATGGCATCAGCAATACAATTTGCATCAACAGTCTTTAAAATCTGGGGAGACTGAGAATATATTTAAAAAAACCCAAACACATGACTGTAAAAAATTGTTCTGCATCTTTTTGATCCATCATGTGCCATCATATTTGCACAGAAGTGTAACAAAATGATTACTAAAGGAACTTCTAGTGCAAAATGTGGTACTATTGCCCTATATAGTTGCATTTTCTTGCTCTTTTATTTGATCACAATGATTAATTTTAGAGAAAGTGCATCTGCTTAACCAGAAAACGTGTACAATGATGGAATATATTTTTAACATTGCAAATATGATTTGTTTCAGGTTTGTTTTTCACTCAGGTTTTCTACTGAAATAGACTTTTTAGGAGCAGTTTTATATAGATAAATGGAAATATTAAATGGAAAAATCTAAACATATTTGTCTGCACTGTGACACCTGTCCAGTGTTGAAAAAATATTAATTAAATGTCTCTGTAATATTTTCCTCCTTCTTCCCTTTTAACACATACAGCAAGTTTTTTATTTTTGAGATTTGAAAAAAAGAGAGCAGTTTAAGATTTGGTGAGAATGTGTATGTTTGAATGCAATGTTGTCTATGTATATCTGATATTATGTCAAATTTTTTATATGAAAGCCCTGTTCTCAAAAGTTTTAAATTCTCGAGGCTGCTTTTTAAACCTTATTTTTAAATGAACATGACACCAATATTGTGAAAGCAAATGCTTAGTGTGTTGCATTTTAGGTGTTCGATTTACATCATGTGCTGTTGATTTAAATGAGTATGAAATTTTTGCAGAAGGCTGAGTGCAAAATTACGTTTGTTAGTCAATTATATTTGCAAGACCGGTATGTGCATAGTACTGAAGAGTCAACGTCTGTATTCAAAAGGTCAGGTGACTGGCAAAAGTTGTCATCTAAGATAACTTCAGTAAGATCAACAAATTAATGTATTCATTAAGACTGCATGCATATGGTCTGCTAGTGTGCTGGCATCGTTTCCAACACAACGTTTTCTTTGCAAATCTAGAACACAGGTGATAGCGGTGTTCACAACTTATCAACAAAGTCAGTGATGGGGTCTTTCCATTTTGTGGGCACCAAAAAACAAATTTCTCAGAATCACATGAAGCTGCAGATAAAGGATAGTAGTATAGGTTTAGGCTCCATTAACGTAGTCTTATACTATTTCAGAAAGGTTAAGAAAACTGATGTTATTATGTATTCCTCAGCAACGGCGTTGTAACACAGCATAATCCCATCATAAACAAAACCTCTTGCTGACTCCATTGTGCAGTTTTAGTAACCTGCTGTTTCTTTTTCCGCAGGAGCGTGGTTGTACCAGTAAAAAAACCCCCTCCAGGTAGTCTGGCCGTTACCACAGTTGGAGCTGCCACAGCTGGAAGTGGACTGCCACCGGGTAGTACACCTAATATATTTGCTGCAACAGGAGCTACACCAAAAAGTATGATTAATACAACAGGTATTGTCCTTAAATATTTTTGTGACCCTCATTTTTTCTTGTTTGTTTTTTGTTTTGTTACTTTTAGTGATGTTTTTTTTTTTAATCATCTTTTTTGTTACTGTTTTTGTACTTCTAAAATAAAAACCTGGAAAGATTAAACCTTGGCCTTTATTATAGCCAGTGTTTTCTCTTGGTGAATGTTTATAATCTTTTATAGTGCACGTTGGACTTGCACAGCCTTAAATAAGTGAATAAATAGCCTTAATACTGTTTTTATAAGCGTAGTTTAGAATTGAAATGAGCTAACTTCTCTAGTGCTCTGCAGTAGAGGATGTTTATATGATATACACCAATTAATCCCTCCTTATGCATCAAAGAAAGCGAAGACAACTAGCTACGTAATAAATACATCTTAGATTGTGGAGGGTTAATATTTTGGGCAATTAGTATTTATCAATGAAAATTTTGCTATGATTTTTGGAAGGCCTTTCAGTAAGAACCTGCCTAATTTAACTGTAGTCATGTCTTATCAGTAGTTGTTTCTTGTGACCTACAGAAGGAGGACAAGACCTTTTTTTAATTATTTATAATAGTAATAACTGGATTGCCTATCATGAAGGAGCCTATTGACCATGGAGACTGTTATTTCCATTCAGAAATGAATCCTTACTGAGAGCAACTGATGTTTACTTAAACGCCTTTGAAATGTCTGGCTATGCTCTGTTTTCTTTCTAAACTAAGCAAAAGCACTTGAGAGAAGAGCTCTCTTCAAGGATATCACAACTTCAGTCAAGGGTTGAGAAAGAGAAAATCTCCCTGGGGTTGCAGAAAATGGAGGGGGAAGCTTTTGGCATCCTTCTGAATAATGTGAAGACACACTCATTTTTTTTTCTTTCCTTTTGCAGATTACCTTTAATACCTGGTAATAGAACTTTGATTTTACTAAGGATAAAAAAATCTTAAAATCTAATTATCCTGAGGCAGATGGGAGGAATGAATGCTCTGAATAATGTTATCACTTCTATGAACAGTTCCATTTGTGTAGCCACTTCTGTTAATCTTGAACGGATTTCCTTTTAGGTACTCTTATGTCATGCAAAAAATATCCTACATTGGAAACCTTGTTTTCCAAATGATACTGAATAGTTTAAGCTTTTCAGTCTTCTCACTGATTAAAGATCTGAACTGGTTTGGCTGGAATGTAGTAGCTGTTCTTTGTAAGTAATTGCGTTTAAAAATCAGTCATTTCCCCAATACTGTTCTTAGCAGAGGACAGTATTGCAGATACCATGGTACATTCACTGTGGATTAAAGGCTGCCTTTTTTTGGTAGATCTTATAGCTGCTTTTTTTTTTTTTTTTCCTAATGCAACTGTTTTTGTCTCCTAGTCTATGGAATAGCTTGATTAAAGGAAAAGTATTGATTCAATGGAACTTCAGCAAGTATCAGATTTAATTAGAACTATATGTGTACTGAACTTCTTTAGTGATCTTATTTGGTAAAGCCTTTTATGCCTGAATTCATCTGAATGAGCTTTATTGATGAATTCTCTCAAGAAATAGTTTGAAAGGTCCTTCCCCTCCAACCTTTCTTAAAGATATGAATTTTATATCAACTTTTTAGAAATGCTAATCGCATTAATGAAAGTAAAAAAAAAAGTATTATCCCATTGAAAACATATAAATATCTATTAGATTTAAATTCTTGTTTTGCAATTTTTAGTTAAGCTATGCTTACGGTAGTTATAACAGTGATCATGTATGCAGTTTTTGAGATATATACATGAGGTATCCAGATACTTACTGGTTTATATACTTGTAGACTGTGAAATTATCTATGTTATTGATGATTTTAAAGTAAGGTATAGAATTTCATTGAACAGCACTTTCTTTTTTTTTTTAGCTATGGTCAAAAAGAAACAGTATACAATTTTTTAGAAACACTAGATGTCCCCCCAAACCTATTTACAGTTGTTTTTACAGTATGTCACAGATACTCTAGAAATACAGTTTTATCTTTGAGGTATATTCTGTGCTGGACTTGTGCAAAAAGTGTTTTTTTCAGTTATTCATGGATCGCAGTCGATGTTTACATTCCATCTGCCATCGCTGTCGTGGTCAATGTCACTGTCACGATGTAATGAAATGTATGTTACTGAAGTGCTTTGAATATATCTTTTGGGAGATAGGTTTTCTTCCTTCATCTCTTTATGTAAGAAGCTGGTTTTATAGGTTTTAGATTGGATTTCTGTAATTTATATCCTGATTCTCACTTCTATGTTAATCCAGCAGTTCTAGAACCTTCTCTTCTGGGAGTCTAGCTGGTTAAACAACTTAACTACATTTTTAGACAGCAACCTTAATGAAGAAAATTTGACTTTGGAAGGAAAAGGGAAAAAGCAATAGAAATGTGTTACCTATGTAGCTATGAATATAAATATGAGTATAAATATATAAGTAATATAAATACACACGCATGCACACACATATGCATATCTATGTATGAATTCTTAACCTTTTTTAAGCTACCCTATTCCCAACTAAGTTGCTGTGATTCCTAGGTTGGGAGAGATTGGGAGATTATATTTTTGTGTTGCCTTCTCACTGTGTTTGGGTATATTTACAATTTGCACTTAGTCCAAGTGAGAACCCATGGTGTAAGCCATAACCCACCTCCCGCTCACATTATTAAAAGAGTTGGCTAAATCAATTCCTAGTCTAAATGCTGAATCTCACCAACTACTCTAGTGTCAGTAAGCCCAGCAAATCCTGCT